AATATATTTACTGATTTTGGTGGATTATACATCAACGCAAAAAAACCTGTACCTTACGTCGTAGGGTGCTTGTTGTTACTTAAGTTATTACTGATGATTAAGTCTTATTGATTGTCTTTCTGCCCTATTTTCAGATTAAAGAAGAACGGGTTTTCAATGAAAAACAGAATTCCTATGTGAGTTGGTTTCTTTTAATGTTAGTAAAGTAATCCAATGACAATTAGTGCACTGAGTGGTTAATCACAAAGAAAGGACTTCGGCAAAAAAGTATTATGTGGATGTAAATAATTGTTGCAAAACAGTAAAAGTTACTGGCTTTGTTAAAGAATTTGATACTTGTACATCAATGTGAAAGCTTAATTTGCTTTCAGTTTTAGAATCTTATGAATCTGTTTATGCTACTTCAGAGATTAATGTTTTCATCTGGGTATAAAATATCACATAGAAGACGAAGCGATCAGTGTGGTACAGTTACATGTGAGATTGGTGGGAGGTGTTAATATCAACATTCCAATGTGTGTTTGTAGGTATGATTTCGTTGAAATTACAAAATCGCTCTGCATTGTTACATTAGCACCAAATACTTTGTTATTCTCTTACAATTTCAAGTACAGAAAGGATAATTGATTAATGACTTTTAATAAATGAAGTTATGGTAGCTTTCATGACTAAATCTTCATTAAATTCTAACCATTGTTAGACACAAATTCCCATCAAACTTGTATCAGAGCCGAGATCATTAAATAGACTTGTTATTTTTTCTTTCAACTGTTCCTGCTTAAGGTACGGCAATTCATTAAAATTGTATAGACCTCCGCAAAAACTTGTTTTCTGCTGCTTATTTCCCTGTACCTGCCTCCTGTGAAATTTTCTCTACTGTTATGTACATTAGTGACTTCTTTTTATTCTGAAGTAAGGTGTGTATCTTGGCAATAACCTTTTATAAACTGTCTATAACTCTTTAAGCTAATAATCCTGTATAAATGAAAGTTGTAACATCTGTTATTTCTTCAATAAGTAGATAACCTTTTTCTTCTAATATTAAAGCAACCTTATTTGCCTTCATTTGTTGAATACTACTCTTAAAATCATATTCATAGTAACTTGTAACATTGTTATATTGTTCTTCTTAGCCATCAAGAGGCCATAGACAATTAGTGAATTTGGGGCTACACTTTAGCTGTAAATAGCTTTTCTTTACTCTCTTGTGGGACCCTTGTTTTTTCAGTTTATGACTTTCTTTCCCTGCAATATATTTATTGATTTAATTAACAAGTTCTTCAAAGATAATCGAGTAGTTTTTATCACATTAAAATTTTATATCAGTTTAATCATTTCACTTGTATAATAATGTTCCTCAGTATGTATGCCATTCCAACACTTTCTATTAATCTTTTCTTATCTCCAACTAAACAATACATCTTGCTTATGTTTAATATAAACATTTCTGCTTAACCAGTTCTAATTCATCATTCATAATATTAACTTCTCGACTAGCCATTCCTGTACAATAAATTAACATATCAGCAAATGCAATAATTATTTTAATACTTTTGGTTCATCATTTGCATGCAGCAAAACAGTTAAATCCTAAATTGCTTCCTTGAGGCATTCCATACTTAATTTCCTTTAATTATGAACATTCTAGAATATAACAAGGGTTAATAAAAATCATTATAATTTTTTTTAATTCAAATTTTAAAAATATTAAATATTCACATGAGGTAAAATCTTTAGATCTTTGAAAAAGAGACAAAAATTGAAGAGCTCAGTAGAACAATGGGGCTATCCCACATTGATCTAGTTTTGAGATATTAAGTGTTTTACTAGAACTTTCATAAAATAACTCACAAACTGTAGATCAGGAAAATTCTCCTACAAATAATGAGAAAAAATATTAGTATCTCATTAATGTTTTGGGAGTTTACAACAAATATTCATGTTTCACAACCACTGGTTCTGTCCTTTAAATACTTTCTCTTGCAAGATAAATTCTTAATTAGGACAAAGAAATATACTTTTTGAGTATTATAATTATCTTGTGTTTAGAAATCACTAATCACAGCATCGTTCTCGTCATTTGAATATGAGGTGACTCATTGAATCAATGTACACTGTTCGCATGAATCAATGTATGGTCTAAGACGAATTTGATTGCTTTCTTAATTATATTCATAGGTCTAAATATATCTAATTTTTGTGTTGCTATATCTGGGCAAGAATATCTGTTTTTCGTGAAGTTGTAGATCTGTTGAAACATTTTTTTTATTAAAATATAACTTTAAGATTTTAGAATAAGATGTATCAACAAATAGATGAATCATCATAAGCAGAATTCTTATTAGCGTGAGAGCGTACGCTTCCGTGGCTGGAGTCAGTGTTTATTTGGCTATCCAGGAGACGCCGTGTTGAGGGCACAGGTGAACATCTTGGCACCTGTGCCCTGGACGCAGCGTCTCCCGGATAGCCAAGTAAACTCTTAATAGTGTGAATGGAATTATTTCTTCTATCAAAACAAATATATAAGAATTTCTTACTTGTACAATGCGAACAGTACAAATATAACCAAATAACTGTGTTTTTGTGAACATGGTTTTAGGACATGGTTTAATTATTGAAATTACTTCATTGCCATCAACAATGTTGCAGCGTATTGACTACTTTTCTGCAATAGATAGGGCTAATTTTCAGAATATAAAGAAATAAAAATAACATGATTGCACAATTCTAGTGTTGTTTTGAAGCTAAAGATGACTATTGCTCTAATTTACAGCTAAAAATGAATTATGTTTTGTGTTCTTGTATTTAAACCTCAGTTACAAGGTAATTAGTAGCTTGTTTGTGAACATTTTGAGTGGATTTACTGTTATTGCAGTAGTAGCAGTTGTAGCAGCTCTTCACGCTAGCAGACATTTTATGTTTAAATATTTCACTTTCTACTGTAGAAAAACCTGTGGATTTTCTGTGAAATAGTTTATCTCATAAGTAAAGACAATTTTTCTGCAAATCACAACCACAACCAGAAAATATGTATATATGTCATATTTTTACAAACAATAGTTACATAGGAAAGGACATGCAACAGGAAGTCTAAGTGAACCATTAAGTGATTTTTTTCTCCTCCACAATTTAAAATGTATTCTTTCAAGTAAGTATATTGATTGCAGTTGTGACAATTGCCTGGATATGACAGAAGAATTCAATTGATTTATGTGGTGATATTTAATCCATTGTTTTAATTATAGTTTTTTTCACCATGTCTCTAACATATAAAGAAAAGTTAGCTGGATTTCATGTTACGATAAACCGTAGGTGCTACTGCAGGGGTTCCCAATCTTTTTCATTCGTCAACTCCTTTTAAAAGAATAGTTACCTCCATCGATGTGACCCCTTAAGTTATTCTCTGTAACTTATCATAAACAATGAACGCTCAAAGTGTGCCCATAAATGTAAAGTTACCAATTTCTTACACCAATATTTTGATAATAATATTTAGATTTACATTAATTGAAGATACTTCCATTCCTGAGTAACCGAGTTCCTAATCTTCATGTGGAGCAATGAGCATTGCTGAGAATAGTTTTTTCTTTCCCTGGCCAGAACATTTCTACAGTGCGTAATGTTAGTAGTGTTTAAAATAGAACATTGTTGATAATACATGGTAATAGATTGTTGAGTCATCTAAATATATTCACCAGTTGCGTAACCACATTCAGGAATGCCCACAAAAATCGAAATGGGACCCTATCTGCAATAACCTTGAAATTAAGTGTTTTAAATCTGATTGGAATATTAATATGGCAGGTGTGATGTAGAAAATAAACATGAATCATAATTTTCTCCTTATATCCACCTGAGGGAGTCCTTATTGAGTGCTCCTTACTTCCGGGAACATGTTCGGTGCACCAGGTGCAATAGACTTGCTACGCCAAGAATTAATGACTGAAACCAAAGAAAAGAAGCAAATTGATAATTTATTATTATATGGATTGTTGCTCTATATCAGAAAAGAATTAATTATCAAGATCATAGAGTATATTTTGTTAATGGAATTTTGATTATACCTGTCAATCACCGGTTCATATTTGGCTATAATCACTAAGCTGCAGATTTATAGTCATGAAACACTAGAAATAAGAAGGCTAAATAGGCCTTTAAAAATGTAAAATAGACATTTATATCCTTGTGTAGAAAGTTTTGAAGTAAATAATATAGTATCTTCATGGAATGTTTTTTACTTTCATCATTGTTCTGATAAAAAATTTCTATCATTGTTTGGTATTCGGACAAAAATGGAATCGCAGGGGCTACCTTTCTGTTTTATAAAATGCAAACTGATACTCTAATGCACACTAATGCTAATGATTTTTCCCTCACATTTAATTTAAACATTGTTTGATTTGTTTTAATCGCCATGATACACTCATGATTTAATCCGTTACAACAGCACATACTTTCTCACATATCTAAAAATTATTTACAAATTGGCAATTTTCAAAAATGTAGAGTTCAGCAAATGTGAGACCTGTACTTTTCCCTGAAGTGTCTCTTGTTCTACCTGTAGGAACATTTGTAGTGGTTTATGAGATTTTTTTTATAATTTGCATTAATTTCAAACTGAAATTCCGCATACCCCACTGGTTTAAATATGTATGTGTACTTTTTTAAAGATCTGATTTGTTAGAACAGATATCATTTACGAAATTTCATTTCAATTTTTCATCAACATTTCTGTATTCAATATTGCACTTTTACAATTGTTCTTTTAATGTTAACGTTTCGCAATTTTTGAAAATACAGGCAGTTTGCAAAACGGGGACTGGCAACAATTTTTATACTGACCTTTGATGCATACCGGAAAATGTTAAGAAACAATTTGGAGCAGTTTTTGAGAAAAAAAAATTGTTTAAAACTTCGAAGTAAAGACCACCTCCATTGAGACGTGTTACCTGCACTGTGGTGGCAATAAAACGGAACACAGATTTATCGATTGTTGTACAATGTCTTGTACTTTGCAGGTATGAAAGTGAAATATTTCAATTTAAAAAAATGTTCATTAAGGACAATTGCATTTGGATCAGTAAATGCGATAAAAGGTAACATTTAGTCATTTAAACAGAAAATAGTCTTTTATTAGTGAAATAGGCATTTTTAGTCACTATTAAATTCGCATATAATAATTCTAATCCCTCAAAATGACTAAGTAACTTAAAAGATTGTGTTTTTCATTGAGGGAAAAACGGGCAAAAATCTTAAGCTTAGTAATCACCAATCGACCCCTTAATCATAACTGACCCCCCCTCAAAATTCCATTTACCCCCAGGGTGTCGATACAGACGCTTTGGAACATGACATGCTTTCTCGCATGACACTGAAGACCTATTTTAAATAAATACACTGGTATTTATAGCACAGTTTTTACTAAATAATCAGCTTCATTATGGGATAAAGAATATAACATTTCGTCATTAATAACAAATTTGAGCATGATAAATTTCAGCCAGTTCTAATGATTATTTTGATACTTTAAATATAACCGGTTTCTTTGCACAATTTAAAGTAAATGAATATTTCTGAATTGTTAAAGTTATTTTCCTTCCAATTTAGAAAAGATAGCTCTATCGCTGACAGAAGGAAAGAAAAAATGAATAGAAGAAAAAGTGCTCTCGTGGCTGAGTGGCGAAGTCGCTTGTCTTTCTCCACTGAGGTTTCGGGTTCTATTCCCGTAGAATCCCCGTGGAACGTTGGGTAGTGACGCAGGAACGCCTAGTAGGAGGCGCGTACGCGGAGATCTACCCGGCGGTCCTCTTGACAACTGACTGCGACGTGACCTGACATTAAATGACAGATAATGTTAATGGATTATTCCTATAAATAGCGCTATTATTAATGGAGGATTACACCAAAGCGCTCAACGCCCCCCGGGGCTTGGAGACGCACTGCTTCAATTCAGACGCAATAAGGTTCGTTACTTTACAACGCATTGAATTGCTGCATAACTGTTTCTATACAATTAGAGACTATAATGATTATCAAAAAGAAAAATGTTTATTTCAACAAAACAGTGATATTTAATGAATTAGTTTACATTTATATTGTATAATTTGTTTAAAGACTTAATATGTTTGTAACAAATAATGTACTTCAGCTTCCGGTTCAATTACCCCCATCTCGATCAGGTTTTTGTCCAGTTTCCCAGATCATTGAGCAGATGCTACAATGGCCCCTTGTTTTGATTCTGGACGTAAATGTAGCTTCACTATGCGCACGTTTTGTTGAACTCTCCTTTTGCTTGTAATGGTAAGAGTAGAGATAAGGGCGAATTGCTATTTTGTTAGCAATGCAGAAAAATCATACTTGCAATTCATGTACCGATGCAAATAAGTTTTTTACAACTCAGAAACGAAAATGACTATTTTTCAAATATTGCTAATCTTGCGATTTTTAATTTCTTTTATTTATGTTAAACTTTTACTCATTTATAGTTATAATGACGGGAAGGGATTCTGGAACTCAAAAAACCTGCGCAGATAAATCTTCTTCCCCTACGTCACATACAGTTTTTACTGTTTTTTTGACTGAATAATTCTAAATCTAAGAAAAATTATAAAAAGTCTCGGCGCACTCTTTGTATTTCGTATATCGCGTTCTGGTGTAATGAATGTGCTAGACTTCCGGGACGTTTTATTGCCCCTTCAAATATTTCTTGACCGATTTTCCCTATATTATATAATGCTTTCCCTAACATTGAATTACTGATATGAGCGATTACAAAAATGTATAATTATTAAACAATAATGTAAACATCCCAAATAAATTTCACTTCTCTACACAATTACCGCGGATGGGTGCCTCAAGCCGATTACCTTGAAAGTAATATATATGATGTTAGGTAGTACAAGCGTGTACTCGTCTCCGGATAATTCAAAAAACAAAAGCAAAAGAAGAGTGGAGTGTATCCGTAGAGAGGCTAGCTTACTTTTGCTAGCATGAATGAAATAATTCCATTATGTCCATAAATAAACGCTCTAATTCCTATCATACGTCCAAAAACTAAAATTATATTTCCTGCGAATGTGCTTATGGCGACTACATTTAACTTGCAGAAAATTGTCGGCGCATATTATTTAAAAAATCTTAAATTAAAAGAACGATATTATTACTAGCCCGAAGTTTAACATAATGTTCCTGATGCTACAGCCCTAATACTATCGTAATCAGAGATTATTATATCGTGATCCTTTGAGACCCGAAGACTGAACACGTAAATTTTAAATCCTACCGTCTCCAATTCTACTCGTATTCTACCTCTCTACGGATATACTCCACTCTTCTTTTGCTTTTGTTTTTCGAATTATCCGGAGACGAGTACACGCTTGTACTTCCTAACATCATATATATTACTTTCGAGGTCAAGTGATACGTATGTGAAGTGTGAGAAGGGCAGAAAGTGTGGCATATTACATGGCGGTAACATTGTAATATACCGAGAAATTATGTATTGTTGTATCACCTCTCCCTCTGTATATATATTCACAGTCATAAAAGGACCTTAATAGACAATAATCGCTCTTTTTGTCGCCTCTCATCCAGCTTAGACGTTATCGTACACATAATTCTTTTTTAGCAGCAGTATTTTAATGAGAACTTCTGTTTACTATAGGATGAAAATGGACCAGGTCCAGGTCCGTGTCGCGTGAAGACAGAACCCAATGCAGATGAAGTGAGTATTTTTTTAATTAAATATTTAAAGGGATCCTTAGGGAAAACCAGCAAAAAATTCGATCTTCTACTTTTAACGTAAATTATCCTGAAATATTCGTAGTATTTTCTCTTTTCTGCATTTTTTTCGAACCTGGGTAGTACCTTTTTCTTAAATGCAAGGCCGCCACAAGTGCATTAAACGGTTTCCTCTTGGCATCTTCATGTTGAACATTTCAACACTCGATGAACATGGGAAAATATGAATTCTACAGAGAAGAAAACTAGTGGTGGTACATAGTGGCACAGACTTTCCCGTATTAATTTTCTATTTCCTTTGGTTTCGGCTAGCTATTCGGACTTGCCACATACTCTTGCCAGCTGCAATCTATCGCCGCCCAAAGTACATAAAAAAATGTAATTTTTCGGCTTCATAGCAGAATCGAATTATTAGTTTAAAAATAACAGGACAACATCCTAAAAGGCAATTTTCTTTTAAAATAATTTCAGCCGTTTTTAAGAAAATGGCGCCTAAGCGCTACTGTAAATTTACAAGTTGAAGATCGTTTTCACAGAAACGTATTGAGTTTTTGAAAAACTTCATTAGAAGACATTTGAAGTATTTTAACTCACAAATACAGTAATGTTCACAATTAACTGGAATTAAAAATTAACGATGTGAGTGAGCTTTCAAAATAATTACATTTTTGTAACTTTTGAAACAACAAAAGAAAAGCCAAAATGAACTTGATGTGATATTAAAGAGTGCATTAAGCAATATTCATACGAAAAGTTTGGAGAAACAATTTGGAGTCATTTTGTGAAAATAACATTTGAGCGTTACTAAAAATGCCGAATTTTGAGCTAGTTTTCACTGAAAACTGCTGAGTTTTCGAGAAACTTTTTATGACATTATTTAAAGCACTTGAACTCATAAGTACAATAATGTGAAGAAATCCCCGGTTTTATAAATATAAACGACGTGAGATACAAGTAAATTTTTTTTTTATTTTTTGAAAAATACAACAAATAATGGAGCAATATGGTGTTTATGTCATCGGAAATGAATTTTTTTCAAAATCTCAAAGCTTTGACTCGAGCCAGGTGGACAAGGTTTCCTACAATTTTGAAAAATAGTTCCTATGTATGGTTTAGGCGCTAGTGGTGTTCACGGACTGACAGACAGCAAGACAGCCCGCCGACCGGACGTTTTGGAAAAAAAAAAAAAGTTTCGGTATCAGGGGACCCCAAAATGTGTATCTCCGTTGCAATCTCGAAATCGATTTTACGCCGCATTACACAACTTTCCCTATACCACGTATAATACTCCGTATATCCATACGTATACGGGAAAGTAAACTAGTGGTGCTACAGAATCGCACAGACTTTCCCGTATCAGTTTTATACTTCCGTAGGTCTCAGATTGCAATACGAACATGTCATATATTCTTGCCAGAGGCCATCTATTCCCGCCCGCCCATAGTCCAGTTAAAAAAAAATATTTTTTTTCGGTTTCTTAATTGTAGAACGGAAATATTATTTTAAGAATATTAAAAAAAAAGTAAAAAAATCGTCCTAAATGGTAATTTCCTTTGAAAAATTTGGAGCAGATTTTAAGAAAATGGCGCTTAAGCGATTCTGTAAATTCTAACTTTGAAGCTACTTTAAGTTTTTTAATAACGATTGTTTTGATGTAATGCATATATTTGTATAAATATAAGCGAAAAACTAAAAGGAGCGACATTTTAGTTTGTTCTTTTATTTTTCTGGGTGAAGTTGACCTGTTTTGCGATGACAAATATCCAGTTCGAATTCAGCACCCCAAAAAATATAGAACTGTTTAGAAAAACTTAAGGAATGTTTTCCTTGGTCGGGCCCTTTCGAGTACGAATTGACTGGACTACCAATGGACTGGAAGCGATAATATAAGGCGTTTACGAGCTGTCAGTAGTTCGACTTCCGTCAAAGCTACTTTCGCCTGTCTGTACTTGGCGCAACAGCCGCAAACGGGCCAGGGCTTACCAGCAGCAGGGTTTTAAGGGGAAGGGGTTTTAAGGTTTTTTTTCGTTAGCTCGTAGTCATCTCCACGCTGTATTCGGGTCTTCTCAACATAAGTGAATTTTTCGTCGTCACACAGCAACATATACTGAGACATTGCAAGGAAAGCGAACACTATAATCTTATCTGACCGGGAATCGAATCCTGGGTCGCGACATGGAAAGTGATAACGCTGATCAGTGAGCGGCGGCGATGGTGTAACGTTAGCGTACTGGACTGTTGTACCCAAGTTGGCGGGTTCAAACCCGATCGAAGCCGTGGATTTTTAAGGGCGAAAAAAATCCTTCGTTCGCCTTCCTTCGGAGGGGAAGTAAAGCCGGCTGTCCCATGTTCGTAGATTTACTTGCATGTAAAAGATCCTCAAGCCTAAATGACGCCTCTGAGCTAAATTCAAATCGCCTGTTTCTCGCCCAAGAAATACCTCCTTTCTCTGCTAGTTGGTGAAAGGAGCGTAGCGAAATTTGCGTGGTCAGACGGAAGAGCGGGCCTGATGGCCCGAGTCTCGCCACGTAAAATAAGGCAAATTCAAATCAAATGAGCTATACAGCGAGGAGCAAGCTGCTGTTTGAGATTGGTGAAATCGGGTGTTAAAGTAAATTCAGACTGTACGAGTGTCTCTTAACTGTGTGCAGTGTAGGAGTTGCTGACTAATATGCATGTGTAACCTACTTTTTATTTGAGAACCCATTTTATAAAAACCTGATATCAAACATACGAATTAAACAAGGCGCAACGAAATTTGGCGAACTTATGAACATTTTTATATTTGGTTGGAGCTGATGGAACGTTTAGTGTTAGTGCTGTATGCATTTGGTATAAAAGCAAAATTGTCAAACCGTTCCCTTGAGAGCGATTAGAAGTCTGCCAAATATAAAAGCGCAGCTGAAAAAGAATTTCCCCCTTTAAAAAGTTTGTGTTGAAGCATGTGTTTCATCTGCAGAATATTTTATGCCCCTAATATGAAAATCTAGTCTGCAATCGCCACAAAATTCAACGCTGCCTAACAGTGAATACAAGGGCCCGTCGCACCGCGCCAGTCAGTATAGTTTCGAGAGGCCCGTCTGATATGAAACCATTGGTTGAAATGGAGGTCTTCACACGAGTGGCGAGGTCGCGCTGCTGTGGCGCTGGGTGGTACTCGAACTGCCACCAGCAGCAGCGCAGAAGCGCGGTCCCGTCTCTGCATAGCAGATCACAGATCTAAATGGCAGCGTACACACGTGATGCACTACTGAACCAGTCTTAACCTGCTGCAGCCGCAGGTCTTTGTCGGCCGCTCGTACATGGAGTTGTGCGTCTCACGAAGGCTCCTGTCCCTGTCCCTGGCCCAGTCGGTGGCTGCCAACGGCAGCTGTGTGGGGAAGGACCGGCGCCACCGAGTGAAGGATTAACAATGTTGGCAGAGTTCGCGGCCGACTCATGTTAACCGATAAAGGTTAAACGGTTTGAAACACGTTCATTAGAGATAATCCAAGATTTAAGTCTTACCAACGAAAATTCGCCTTTCGAAAATTGTCTTTTTATGTTGTTTTCTCGTAAAATCATTAATTGCAATAACGCACTTTTTAAGTCGTATAAAGTAACATTTTGTGATCAAAACATTGTTATGGGATAAAGTGGGCACCACCTCATCGCATTGTGGATTTAGTTCGATGTGTTGCATTGTAGATAAAATGGAATTTTTAACAAATATTCATTCTTATTTTAAGTTTTTTAAATACTATTTGGAATGTTACACTAGATTTTCAAATAGACAAATTGTTGCCGTTCTTCCAAATTTCGAACAATATTAATACAAATTACTAGTGGCGTTGTATGAAATCAGGCAAGAAACTTTCAAACTTCATATTTTACATACCAAATGAAATTTTTAAAATATCTTGCTTCAGGATCCTCTTGCCCCAAGCAGTAACAATTCTGTTGCATCAATAAAACAGGAAGATTGTTTATCCTCTGCAGGTGAGTGATTACATTTTGTTTTTATGTTGTAAACGAAATTTTATACATTGCATTTGTACAACAATAATATTCATATCACAACATCATCATATGCCAAATTATATTTAAACGTTTGCTGGATTGAATAATGTTGGAGTTCTAATAACATGGAGAGACTGCTATCTCTGAGCGATCAGGAAGTCCGTTCATTTGTTCCTAATACTTAGGCAGTCGTGTGTTTTCCCAATGGACAGCACACTTTTACGAGAGTTGTAGAATTAGTGAAATATATACCCTGTGATATTCTCACTATTGTCTGATTTGAAGAAATTTCTTTAATAATGCCCATTCATTTTTTTAAAAAATCAGTGATATTTCTGCTTTCTCCTTAATATAGGATTTGTTCTTTTGGTATCAGTTGAGACTGGTTCCATTATCTGGATTCTCATGACATTTTTTCTTTGTTTCCTTAGGAACCGCGTATGATTGTAGGCTATTAATCCGAATTAGTTAAATCCACTGACCATTCAAAAATTGCAATGTTTTTGTAATTCAATTATAAAGCCCAGCATCTATTCGTGACGAGAGCATTAAGGAGTCATTGTAATAATAAAGTAGGATACGAGTTTTAATATTAAATTATGTAATCTATGCTAATATTAGAAGGTATGTGCTGGTGTATCACCAGTAGGTTTCTGTCACTTATCAATACTGTTGCAAGTATGAACCTACAAGCATTGCCAGAAAAAGAAAGTGGATTTTTGAGTCAGAGATTCCTGATCCTTGTCACTTGCAGTTGATGCCATGCCAGGTAGCACGTAGTCTTGTTTTGGCAATTTGGCAACGCGTGAAATACCAGTGGCATTCCTTTCTCTCATTCTGCCTCCCCCCTCATGGAGTCTCATTTCCCCCGTGGATTATTGAACCTTTTTTTCAAGGAGACAATTACTTCCGAAAACAATGTTGTCATTTTACAAAATCTTGTATATTTCAGAAGTCGAGAGTTGCTGCTGGTTTCAAAAAGGCGACGCCCCATGTTAGACAGAGCACAAAAGAATGCATTTTTCTGAGAAGGAATTGTTTCAGTCTGCGGCCAAAACGTTCCCCGAATCTTACTCATTTGGCCTTTTTCTGTTATTAATTTAAAGTATGCATGTATAAAGTTCATGCAAATAAACCAATGTCTCTTGAAGGCTTACGTCGGAACAGTAGAATGTGTGCTGAGCAAATGGAAGTTACTCAACGTGTGGCAGCCATTACATTGAAAGTCAATTTATCGTCGTTTCAACGAAAAAATATTTTTAATTTTTATTAATTATTTTCAATAAATATTTATATAATTATATATATAAATTGACTACTGATTAGATTTTTGTAAATATTTTTATTATTTTTTAAAGGTTTTATACAAAATCTAGGTTCTGTAATAATGATGATTGTTATTAATAGAGGGAGTCTGTAATTTTTTTACGAGGCATCATTTTGATATCACTCTTCGACACCTTTCAAGACTTTTGGAGGCGCTTAATTTCCTTCCGCATCTTCCGCAGTTGTAGTTTGGTTTTGTGGGCGCGTAAAGAAACGTTTTGAATGCTCGCTTTGTCCCAGGCTCCCACACCCACTCTGCTCCCATGCCCATCCTACTGTGAAGATTCCGGCGTCTGAGCCGCGTACATTGCCGCACAAAGGCTTGAAAGGGAAATGCACAGAAACAGGAAAATTGCTACCCGAAGCTCACCTCGCCATCTCGTCTCAACGTGCCAGTCAGCAGTCTTAAAAGCAAAAATACGTGATTGCCAAAACGCCTAAACAAGAGTAGGTACTCCCATGCATTGGTTCCAAGTATAAATAAGGATCCGATGTAGCACACTACCTTTAAAGACAATATCACATGTAGTTGTGAACAGATTGGCGGAATCACCCTTTTGGGAATGTGTTGAATACTAAACCACATTGTTTCGGGAATAAAATCTCTATTATGTATTATAACAAGAGTATACTATGTACGAGTGTTTTGTACTTAAATTAGGTTGAGAATAGCAATGTATTAAGGCAGATATTAGTAATTTATTGTAAGAGGGTCTTATCCTAAGTTAAATTCGTGCAGTGATCTACACCTATTTGGCTGAAGCAAAATTTCTTTTTCCCCGACAAATCTTTTTGCTTCTGATATATGATTTTTTCTGTTAACAGCTTGTGAATTGAGTTCTGTGGAATCCACCTCAGGCGAGAAGGCCTCTACTGCAAACGGACACTTGGAAGCAAATATGCGAATCGATACTGGTGAGAGACCTTTTAAGTGTGCCACCTGCCAGAAAAAATTCATGAACAAAGGCAACCTGGAAAGTCACATACGCATCCACACTGGAGAGAAACCTTTTAAGTGTACTGTCTGCCAGAAGAGGTTTACTCATCCGTCAACGTTGCGTCATCACATGCTCCTCCACACTGGTGAGAAACCTTTTGAATGTAAAGTCTGTCTAAAGAGGTTCAATAAAAGGAGTCATTTGACTTATCACTTGCACACCCATACTGGAGAGAAACCTTACGAGTGTTCCAACTGCCAGAAAAAATTCAGAGCAAAGTCGGCATTGAAAATCCACATGAGCTTGCACGTTGGTGTGAAACCTTATGAGTGTGCTATCTGTCATAACAAGTTTTCTGAAAAGAAACACTTGAAATCTCACATGTTCACTCACACAGGTGAGAAACCTTTTGAGTGTTCCGTCTGCCAGAAGAGGTTCTCTAATAATTGGGACTGTAAATACCACATGCGCGTTCATACTGGAGAGAAACCTTTTGAGTGTTCTACGTGCCAGAAGAGGTTCCCTAATAATCGGGACCGTAAATACCACATGCGCGTTCATACTGGAGAGAAACCTTTTGAGTGTTCTACGTGCCAGAAGAGATTTACTCTAAAGTCCACTTTGAAAACCCACATGCGCATGCACGCTGGTGTGAAACCTTATGAGTGTGCTACCTGTCAGAAGAAATATTTTCGAAAGGTCCACTTGGCATCTCATATGCGCATTCATACTGGTGAGAAACCTTTTGAGTGTTCCGTCTGTCTGAAAAGATTATCTGATAATCGGTCATATAAATTTCACATGCGCATTCATACTGGAGAGAAACCTTTTGAGTGTTCCACATGCCAGAAGAAATTCAGTGTAAAATCTACTTTGAGTACCCACATGCGCGTACACGCTGGTGTGAAATTTTATGAGTGTGCTATCTGCCAGAAAAAGTTTTCTCAAAAGATACACTTGAAATCTCACATTCGTGCACACACCGATGAGAACGCTTTCGAGTGTTCCATCTGCCAGAAGGGCTTCTCTACCAAGATGGCCCTAAATAACCACTTGCGCAGTCACGTTGAGAAACCTTATACCTGTTCCATCTGCCAGAATAGCTTCTCTGCGAAGAAGACCTTCAATATACACGTGACCATCCACGATGGTGAGGAACCTTTTAAACGTTCCATCAGCAAGTGAGAGCTTTACTCACAATGCCGCGCTGCGGAGGTACAGGCTCGTTCACTATCAAAAGCCTCGATGTTTCCTGGCTGATAAGTTTCACTCAAAAAGAAAACTTGAGTAGCCACGTGCCAATTCACGCTAGTTAAAAATTTCAAGTGTTCATGTGCCGGGAGATATTCACTTAAAAGTGGAGTAAGTGAAACCACTTTGTTTCACACCATGTAATAAACCTGTTGTTGCTTATGTTAGTCAAATCCTGGTGTTCCACGAGAGAGACGAGATTCATGGCAAATAGAAACGACATCTTTCGTAACGTTTTCAGTGTTATCTGGAGAAAGTGTTGCACTACAAAACGAGCTTTGCCAAAAAATTAGTATGTCTGCGCCTGAGAAATCTGTTGAATGGACAATTTACCAGATGAGCTGATGCGATATATCAGAAAACGTGTTAGTACTTCACTGTTGTCAAGGCAATAGAGTACATAATAATATATTTATGTTCTGCGGCAAATTTCATTTCTAATTTTTCAGCCATTCTTAGAAAATCTTTCCATCAAACTACTTGAAACAGCTCAGTTTATGTAATATTTCTCATAACACGCTTTGTAATTACAATTTTTGATTGAAGTAAAAATGTAGCTTTGAGGGTGCCACGGACCAGTGCTTTCCCACCCGATTCGCCAAACACACTCTGTTTTGACCACACCAGGCTGCATTTTATCTCATTACGAGTATTTCCAATTACAAAACAAATTGACGTCATTTCCCCATAGCCTGAATGAAATTGGAGATTCCAAGAAAAATTTTTGAGTGCTTTTCAAAAAACTTGTTTTCACTAATTCTTCATCGAACTCGATCATTGTAACTTCATCGAAGTTACTAATATATTTTCTCTATCAATTAGAGAGAATAGTAAATACTTTATGTTTGCAATGCTTTTTCAAAATCTTGAAAATTAAATTACGAATGTTGAGAATAAACGTGTTAATATTTGTATTCCTTGGGAAATAATGAAAACAATGCCAGAAAAACTATGGCAAATATTTTAAATTGTGCCTTTTTCTTACTCCCACTCCCTTTCCTTTCGCTTATCCGTTTCTCATTGCATGAAAAATACCGGACTAAGATTGGAATGACGTACTTAAAAAAGGTTATGCAAACAGCTTAAAAATAGTGTTCGCATGGTAAAAGTTCATAAGTGAGGTTTTGTCCAAATTGCGTTACGTAATAAATGAGAAATATTTTGCAACAACTAAATCTGTTATGTAATATCTGTATAACACTTCATAAATAAAATTGAACCTGTATTCGACAGTGGGTAACACTACCTCTGAAGCAATCTACAAACCCACAACGATATATACCAACAATTAGCATTAATTACCTACTCATCAATTACCACAATTTGCAAGTCAATTACACCAGCCAATGTCAGAAAAATTGAGGGACAACATAACTCCAAGAATTAAAACACAATATTTCGAGATATAATCGAAGAAATAGACATTATTACTAAAAATGTTCTATAAATTCTCATAAGAGAAATTTGTTCATCGTTGAAAGCGCAGACCTTTTAGACTCATGGTCCCTAAAATCATAATTTTTTATAAGGGTAGGAGTCAGATTTATTAACTCAAATTACTTGAAAATGCATATTTTACGACGATACAGCGCCTGAATTGTATATAAAGGGCCTTTAACCATCAGTACCAAAACACCTTGTATGATATCAAAACAAAATTCTGAGAAAACTATTTGGCGTAATACAGAAGTTTTTCTACAACGCATCTGAAAATCTTCATTTTCGTTAAAGAAACTTATTTAAATTATTTTCTCTTCTCAGTTATTAAAACCACACCTTTTGTTTCTATCAGTTAATTACTGTTCGCAATTTTTTATAAGCTGCGAGGATCAGGAGCAATAAGCATCAGAAAAATATAATAAAAACATTACAGAAAACAGATTTTTCGCGAAATATATACTTTTTGGCAGGATTCTTGTTAAAACCTAAAACTACTTTAAATTAATTCCTCCCCAAGTTAAAACTGCATCTCTTGTACCAAAACCGCAATTTATTCAGTCAAAATGATAATATTGTTATACCGACTTGCCACAGGTATCTTCACACTCGTAAATACACGAAATACGTAAATACATTATATTTAATTGCGACAGAGCTCCAAAGTTACTGCTCGTAATTCATCATAAGCTCGAAGCCTTATCAGGAATCAAAACAACATTCAAGTGTGGTAATACAATAGCACATACGTTCTCGCATTATTATTAAGGCAACATACTACAAGAATCTGCTGATTACCCACTACATGAAAGTTTTAAACCAGCTAAATATTTTCCGTGTCGATAGTCGAACTCAGGTCCAAGGAGTTACCGCGCCATGGCTCTAAAATTGTTTGGAAACGTCCCCAACGCGCCCTTATCCTTAACGAGAACATCAAAACGTGTATGAAAACAAAAAAATCATAAGTTGAACCATTCGTCGGAATACAGAAATGTACCGGATACGGGTCATTCCATTTTAAGTGATGTAGAATTAAATTGGTCCCCTCACCATCTCGAAAGAAAAGTAATACTTTGGACATATAATCCCTTAATAACCGGATTTAATAAAAAGTATTGTGCTTCACAAATGGTGGCCATTTTTATTTTTTTCAGTGCGCCATTTTCATTTGTTTGTAGACAAATGACTCATCGCTGTGTTGTTGATTTTAAAACTAAAATGTGGTAAACTCTGGCCTACTTATCAAATTTATATTTATATAATAACTTATTATTTGGGTAATATTTGCAATCACAAGTATCAATCGTAAATGAATAAATTTTGACTTAAATTTCTTTCAATATAAAAAGAGCAATGCAACCTTATTTTTCTGTGGTTTTACTCGTAGAAATATAGACAATTCGTAAAATACCAATGGCATGATAAGTGCAACTTAAAGTTTACATCCTAAAAATCGGAATTTTAGATTATCCCTCACTTGGCGACTAATACGAGGGTTGCCTTTTATATTTCAGAATTAGAGAACAAAAACAAATATTAATCATCGAAAATCACTTTATTGTTTTTCAAAATATTCCCCATGAAGATCTATACACTTTTGCATGCGTTTGAACCAATTATCGAGGCACTTTTGCCACTCTGATTGAGGTATCTCCAAAACATGCATTCTGAAAGTAGCAACCGCTTCAATTGTCGAAAAACGTTGACCTCTCAGTTTGTTTTTTACGTACGGGAATAAAAAGATATCATTCGGTGCCAAGTCAGGACTACGGCGGATGACTCATCAAATCGATGTTTTGGGTGCTCAAAAATGCAGTTGTTTGAGCCGATGTGTGAGAGCTCGCATTGTCGTGGTGAAGAGTGATCCGTCTTCGGCGGTTGGTTTTCCTGATTTCTTGGACGACAGCTAGACAACAAATCGTTGTGTACCACTCAGAATTGACTGTTCTGCGTTGTTCTAGTGGTACAGCTGCGACATGTCCAGTTCTTCGAAAAAACAGGCGACCATCTGTTTGGAAGTGCTTTTTGCGCGAACAACTTTTGTTGGATTTTGCTCATCTTGAAACACCCATACAGTCGACTGCTGTTTACTTCCGGGCTCATACGCGTAAATCCCCGTGTGGGATCCAACGCGAACAAATTTTTTTGACAGTCAAATGTTCATGCAATATTGAATGTATGCTAGTCCCACTAATGCCTAAGGTTGTATCAATCTCTCGATAGGTCACATGACGATCTTGCAATATCAGTTCACGCACAGCATCAATGGTTTTCGAAACAACTGATTTTGGACGACGTTCGCGAAATTCTTCTTTGAGTGAAATACGACCACAATTGAATTTACCATACAATCGATAAACACTGGTCCTTGATGGAGTTTTATCGCCAAAAATTGAATTAAGTTCATCCATGCACTATTGTTGAGTTAATCCTCGTCGAAAGATGTAAAAAATAATCGCACGAAGATGTTCACGATTTAATTCCATTTTTGGGCCAAGATGAATATTTCAAGTTACTGTAAACAACAGAAATAGCGCTCATATGTCAAAACGTTCTCAGTGCCTATAACCTCAAAACATCCAACTTTACGATAGAGCTGTCAGTTGCCAGAGTGCAAACACCAGGGTTGCCAAATCCCGAAACATAAAATGCAACCTTTGTATGTTGGAGGACCAGATAAAAATTCGAAATTTTAAGGAGTGATATTTTCTAGCCATTTTCAACTCAAATCTTCCTTGCTTTACTGTAATACTATTGTATTATAAATAAATTTACAATATACAATTTTGAAAATTACTTAATGCCATTCAAACTTATTTGTGATGAAAATAAGGTCATCTTGACGTCAGAATCTATACTTTCTAGTATCGGTTTATTTCAATTACAAAAATTAGTTTATAGAGAAACTAAAAGTAAATTTGTTGTCCCTAATAAAGTGCATAAAATTCACAACTCGTGGAGCCAAACTAAAATAAGAAATAAATTTTAAGTGTCAGAATTTATGAAATAGTTAAGAAACGTTTTAGTGAAAGAAGTGGGTTATTTTCCTCAGTTACAAAAATGGAACGTACTAACACTGATGAATGAAAACAAACCAAACAAAATGTATGTTTGCATGAAAAATTCAAGTATATGACGCCAGTGACTGGCGATTCTTTGACAAAACGTACCATATTTGAGCTCTCTCAATATCAATACCAATAGCAGAAATGACTTATTAATACCAAATTGTTGATCTATCCACATATAATCTTAAGTACAGAAAACATTTATTTTCGTAAAATATTAACTGACGTTTCAACAAATTACCCGTATTTGCATTTCGTTTACTTTATCCCGTTAGCGAATACTTCAACAAATTATGATCGAAAGTTTTGTGTGAAAATTATCTTCGAATGTGCGTTTTCTGAAACGTTAGAACATTTTCTTAAAAACGGCTCGATGCTTTCCACAGAAAAATGTGCATATACTGTGACCACATTTTACCCTTGTATAATATGCTTCAGTTCTACTGTTAAGTATCTGAAAAATTGAAGAAACTCAAAAGAAAATTTCGGCGCCGATAGATGTCAGCTGAGAAGACGTGGCAAAACCGAAAAGAAAATCCATATTGATGCATAAGAAAACTAACCAGAACGAGAAAGACATTAGTTACTTTGTCATATACGTATAAACGTATAAATTTGTCATATACGTATAATATTTCAAAAATATTTAAGTTCACTGCCATGCTCGAATAGGTTTTCGGCGTAGCTTGGCAAGCTGCTGATATATAGCAATCGCAATGTACAAAGACGTTAAATAAATAGTTAATACTACTACAATAAATCGTTTGCAATTACTGTGGCCCAGGAATGGAAAAAATTGCCTTCCAATATTAAAAACTGCTCCTCATTAACATCTTTTAAGAAGCACCTGAATGATTTTCTTAGAAAGTAGAACACACCCTTTTGCAATTTAAATCACGGTAGATTACTGGACAAATAAAACCTGTACCTTAGGAGTGTTAAGAACTGATTAATATGTTTTAGAAATAGCATTAATGTTCTCTTGTAAAAAAAATATTTTCTTGCGACCTGTTTGATACTGCCGAAACTATATTTTCATCCGTAGGCGCAGAGGCGGATTTAAACAAGAAAATGACCCTTTGCAGCATGAACCAGGCTGCCGCGTAGCGAGCAGATATAGCACATTATATCTTATTTAATTTAAATTGTGTTTCAATCAAAATCTCCGTCTATGAATTTTAACATTTCAAACATTATTGTAACATTGTGTCCATTTAACTTCTAATGTTATGCATTTATACGTTGCTTTAAATAACGTTTGCTTTCCACTAACTACTTACCACTTGTAGATTACATTACTTTTAATTTTTTTAGATTATATTAGACAGATTCAGACTAATCTGTATATTTAAGACATGTGGTTAGGCGGAAGAGCGGGGCTGATGACCCCAGCCTCGCCATATCAATAAAGGCATATTATTATTATTAT